AACGCTGGCGCAGATCGCCTTCCTCGTCATCCCATGCGGGAAAAGGAGTGTCAGACTCGTAGTCGACTCTTTAACGAGGTCACTCGTCATTGATAGCGTGCGCAAAGCGCGACGCTCGAGCTTACCGAGCCTAGGATGTACATATTCCGATGCCACGGACGCACTGTCCGACATTGCACGATGTGCGGGAGACGAAGTTGGGCTCTGTCCGTGTTCACTGTCAGAACCAGCGAGACTTGGTGACTTCAGTGTCGTTGACACAGGGATCATTGAGCTCGGAAGTCGTTTTATTTCAATAAATTAAGTCGCAGTGTCTAGCGGACACGCGAGCCTCGTTGAGGCAATAATCGATTGGAACTGTAAACGTTCTCAATCTTAATAGGGAAAAGTGTAACGGGGTTACACGTACCCTGATAACAGGGGGGGTCACACGAGATGTGCATGGTGTGACTGCATTCAAACAAAAATACGGTATGTGGCAAGGTAGCCAGTAGTTTTGCATGTATTTAGATTTTACTATATATATTTAGTATATTCAGAAAAATATAAATATTTATATTTAAATCAGGCGGCTTTGCCGCAGATAAAAGTAAATAAAATCAGTTTTGAATTTTAAACAGAAGAGTAATTAGCCTTGGGTTAAGGCAATAATTAATCTTGGAGTGAGCGGATTGCGATCTGCTAACTCGTACTTCTTCTAAGTATAGAACGAAAGGTCGGTGACCTAAATCACGCTTCCTCAAACGCAAAGCTACGGCAGCCTCGCTGCATCTGTGACCTTAGCTTAGCTTCTCTGAAGCAAAAAGCTACGGCAGCCTCGCAGCAGTATTGCGATATGCTACCTTCTTACTGGTTCTAAGTATAGAACGAATGTCACCGACCTTAACCAAGCTTCCTCTAAGCGAAAAACCTACAACAGCCCCGCTTGGAAGGCTATACAGTGCAATTAAACTAGTCGATACGTAGACTTATCGAATACCTCGAGCGAGACGCTCTACTATTAAAATCTTAGTGACTTCCAGCCGCCTAGTGGCGGAGTTGTCAAGATCTGCCTGACCGCACTTAATTGCCTCTGAGATAACTCAGTAGGGTTCAAACTCATACATTACAAACGTAATAACCTAGCACTTTGGGGAGGGACATCAATATTATCTAGTAGAACATTTGAAACCGGCAGCTACAATAAAAAACTGTCTTATGCAACACGCGAAGACCGTGATGAAAATGAAGTCCCGGCAAATGCCGCTTTTAGTATTTTTCGGGCGTGCAGAGAGATGAAAGTCTATCCTTCAAAAAGAAATGCAGCTCTCAAATATAAACTAACATCGGTATATAGGATAGTTGTGGTCCACGAAATGTACCATCTGTAAAATTATGTGAGAGACGAAATCTAAAAAAACATTGTAGAAATAAAGTAAAAGGTGGGTATCGTATAGACAACGGTAGAGCTCATATTTTGCGAAAGCTATATATTGTGAGCATACCATCACCACTCACAATTTCTCGTCATCCATATCACCTTTAAAACATATACCCTGCTGCATCAACGGTCAATCTCAACATAATGCAAGCTGGCTGGGTGATGCTGAAGCTTCTTCTAATACTCATTTCAGTCAGCATACATTTGAATTGTTCTCTCCACAATATTTTACGCTTGGATTTAAATATCTACTTTAGTATGATAAAACTCGTAATGTTTGGCAAGATGTCCGCAACAGATTCTTGGATGACCATGCGCAATTTTTCTATTGAGCCAGTAGTGACGTCAGACTTAGCCCATAAGCCGCAGCAAGGCGGTTTCTAACTCACACCCAATTGACGGAACGTTGCAAGCGTTGTATGCTGGTCGCCAAAAGAAATATAATCGAACATGTACTAGAACAAGTGAGAAGAATGATGGGCACAGACTGCAAAGGCGTCTAATATTACCAGTAAATTGATTTGAATGAGCTTCAGAAGGCCACAGAATTAACATGCTCTCAGTTATGTTTATATGACTTTCATCTAAAAATCGAACGTAACGGGTGATTTGTCCAATTATTCCTCTTTGTAGACCAAGCAGAAGCGTTATCTTGTACTGAAATTTAAAAACCACTGGAAAATTTTGAAAACCAATATCGGTTAATGCCGTTGCAAAGTTTGACGCTATAACGGAATAATCGGAAAGAGAACGTAAAATAGAGATGTCGTTTTGCTCTCGTACGCCTACTTTTGGATAAATATCTAAGCTTTTGTGCCAATAATTTTTCTTAAAAATTTATATTACCTTATTTACATATATAAAGTTATACACAAGAGCATAGGAAGAAAAATGTGGCTGCCTTGACAACAACGTGACAACTGCAATTGATTTGAAGTTGTGCTTACGGTACAATCACTTGAATTAATGACGTGTTGGCAAATTGAGCGTCATACAAACGACGAAGAACCAGTTTGGGATGCGAACACTTGCTTCTTACGCCTTAAATAGACATGTCAATTTGAACGTAACCTATCTTGATCTTATTTCATACATGGGTTCAGTTTTAATTTTAGCTCTAGAGCGCAGTGAAAATTACTTTCAGCTGTCGTACTCAGAGAGAGAGAACAAATTTTGTGAATTTTGTGCATAAACATGCTCAAGAATCATCTATTCGATCATTTCAGTGTAAGTCACAAAAATGGGTTCTTTTGCATCCGCCCATCAGTGGACGAAGCGGACGGTCTTTTCTTTTACGCCCATGCGTTGGTATAGAGAGATACTGGGGTGCAAAACTCTGATTTTCGCTATGAAACGGATGTGATAATTTGGGCTAGTCTGAAGTGTCAGTTGCACTTCTTCAGAGAAGGTCAAAGTACACTCGCTCACTTTTTACGAAGCCACTTCATCTCACTGCCACTGATCTAAGTCGAGATATTGCCGGGTAGTACTCTATTTGCATTATGTTTGGCAACGATAAGCAAAAGCTTATAAAACATGAAGACTATGAATTACATGGTACTCCTGCTACGGGGGATAATGACGGTGGTGCTGGATTTTACCCACAAGAAGGACGTCCAATACCTCAGCAAGGGTATGTGGACCCACGTGGACCAGTGCTTCCACCTATGAACGTCTCGGATGCCGTGGGTCTTGGTAGTCAGCGTGACAACATCATATCGGTACACGGTTACATGCACAAGCAAGGCAAACGTACTATTAAAGGACCGATTCATAAAAGTTGGAAACGTCGTTATTTTGCGCTTGAAAAAGCTAAAATTTACTACTTTCATTCGCATTTAGAATGTCGGCAATATTTTACGACGCGTAATGCTGATTTAGTAGTTGGGGCTATTGAATTAAAGGATGCGCTTCAGCTACGTCCATGCGCTCGTTTGGATTTGCCTCATAAAGGTTTTGAAGTACATACAAAACGTCGTGTATGGGTATTGTGTCCAGAATCGGATGATGAGTATCGTATGTGGTTTCAGGGTGTTGAGCGTGCTATTGTAGCGAATGGTGCGGGGAACATTATTGAGCGTAAATTACCAAATGTTCGCAAGTATTTGATGAAGGGAAATCAAACGTATCGATTTTTCTACTTTTGTTTCTTAATTGCTGGAATTGTCGAACTGTTAGCAATTGTGTTTTGGTTTGTTATTGGTCTGGAACCATGTGATGCTGCTCGTCTCGAAGTCGACTGTACCACTATCAGGATGACGTCCCTTGATATTCTTCGTTGCTCAAGTGAGCCTTTTAGTGGATGGTTCACTCCACCGAAGTGGTATCTACAAGTGGCTGATGTTGAAAATGTCATCTGCTTTCGCGACCCACCGATACCTCAGTGGATTTCATACTTTGCAATGATACTAGCGGAATTACTTACATTTGCATTAGGTGTTCTTTACTACCTTGGAATGTGGAAACCTGTCCGTCGTGGTGCTCATTACTTTGATGAATTTGAGCCGCCTGTTCCGGATGAATTGTGGCCCAAAGTTGATATTCTGCTGTGTCACTATTCTGAGCCGGCTGAAGAAGCGATTGATACTTTGATGGCATGTATGAACCTCCAGTACCCGCCACATCTACTACAGATCTGGGTCTGTGATGATGGGTACTGCAAAACAAAGTGGACGAAGGGAAATCCAGTCCCGACGGTGGAGTTAAACAAAGGTATCTTGGAAACTGCTGGCGATCTTCGTCAAGAAGTAGCTCAATTCATGTATGACCGAGTGTGCGATCCTAATGAAGAGATGGAGGTGTACGCATGGCGAAAGCTACACTCGTCTGCTAATCTCCCGTCTCCATCGCGTGTCAAAGTAGTCAATCGTGCTGATTGTGCCGTGGGCTCATTCCGTGATGATTATCGCTACCCTGGTTTACCGCACGTGACTTTCATTGGTCGGGTAAAGCCGGAAACTCACTACTCCAAGGCTGGCAACATTAACAATTGCTTATACAATGAGGGTGCTAACGGCCGCTATCTCATCATTCTGGACACAGATATGCAGCCTCATCCGAAGTTTGTTTTAGCTACTCTTCCTTTCTTCTTCGACGATGAAGACCGTCAGGACAAGGCCAAATACATTTGCTGTGGTATCGGTTGCAACTCTGTTGCAAAGCTTTGCTGTGCCTCGTGCCAAATTGCTGGTGTACCAGAAGAGCAGATTAGCTATTGCTCGAAGGATTGCTTTGAAAATGCCATGCATGTACAAAGTGCAGTTCACCGTCGCCAGGTAAATGGCACGATGAGCGATACTCACGCAGGCAAGATTGATATGCGCTGCATGAATTGTGATGCAAAGCTGCCAAAAAGTGGTGTTTGTCGCAAGTGCGGCAATAAAAGTGCAGATGGTGAGGATGTGTCGTCACTTCATACATATTCGGATAATGTGCGGGATAACGCAGTAGCGTTCGTCCAGACACCCCAGTACTTTCGTGATTGTATTCAACTCCAGATTGGCGACCCAATGGGTCATCGTAACGCAACATTTTACGATGCCATTCAGACTGGTCAGGATGGCTACGACTGCGCTTCTTTTGCTGGCACGAATGCAATGTTCCGACGTGAAGCTTTGGATTCAATAGGGGGCATTCAGTATGGCAGTCTGACTGAAGATTGCTACACTGGTCAGGTGCTGTGCTCTATGGGCTGGAAAGCGCAGTATTTCCGCAAGGATTTTGAAGGTGAGCCGTCGGAGCGCATACGGCTAGCCGAAGGATTAATTCCTGACTCGGTCGCTGGCTCGTTAGCTCAACGTAAGCGTTGGGCCAAGGGTAACTTTCAGATTGCTTTGATGAACAAAAAGACGCAATACTTTGACCCCGAGTGGAAGCTACCAGAGGCACAAGTTCCAACGTACAACAAGCCGAACAAGTTCATGAGACGTGTTTTTTACTTTAATTCGACGCTCTACCCGCTCGGCTCGATTACGGCTATCTTGTTTTACTACATCACAATTTACTTCTTATTCTCTGGCTATGCTCCAATCTACATGGCTGGCGAGCGCCTTGTATACGCGCTTGTCCCGAAGTTACTTGTGCAAGGGTTGCTGTCAGCACTGAGCAATCGTACTGTGGAGAATAGCGATGTGATTCGATCCCAAGAGGTCTGGTTTGCTTACGCTTTTACCAACTGCACGGCTGTGCTAGAGGCATTCTGGTGGAAGATTACTGGCAAAGAGCCTAAGTGGTTTAACACTGGAGGTGCGAGTCGTGGCTCGATTTCGGAGCTTCCAAATGTCATTATCTTTTTCGGCACTGTCGTAGGTATACTTTGGGCGGTAGTGCGATTTTTGGCTGGCTACAATAGCATTCAGACATCGCATGGTGCATCTCTGCTGTTTGCTAGTCTAATGATGGGTCTATTTCTCGCTGTTAAATTGGCACCAAGCGTACGTATGAGTATTCAAGAGTACTTTGGTTGGAGTTATGAGAGTCTTACGGATCAAGGGAACGTTTTGGGTTCGATTTCAATTGCATTTGGTCTTATCTTCATTACACTGTGGGTCTGGATTGAACAACCTACGTCCAATCCCTTTTGAAAAGACGAGCTATCTGCTTTTCAAGATACCGCTTTAAATGCTTTCTTTCAATATATTTGATTCATTTTTTAAAGCAAATCATGTATTTAAAGATTAAAATCACTTTGCACAACTTGATTACTAACCAAAAATTTAAAACTTCCTACTGATATATTTTAATGAGCTTTGAATGGTATGCTGTCCAGATAGCAGCAATGTCGTAGGTTCATTATCGGCAATAAGGACAGAATGAAACTGCAGTGTCGGCTGACGTAGTAGTAGGCTGTCCCCACTGTTACCGCGACCAAAATCCAGTCAAAATTCCAGCATCGAATGCAAAATGTGTGCAGGATGATATGGGTAACTTGTTAGCCTAATTTCTCCATGTCTTTAATATTGATAATAATACAGATCTAATTCTACTTAACATTTCTATGATTTTGTACACAAGGTCGACGATGTCACTAGTTATACTAATTCTGAGAATTAGGTAAAAAGACCCAGATTGTCTCTTCCATCCACTCAACGTCCACCTACCCTATCCTCTGTGGCCAGATGTGGCGAAATTTCACTAATGTGCGATTTCCGTTACTGGACTTGCATCACATCTAGTTTCGCACGAGAGAAGAAACTGCTCAACGTCTTGCCTGTGCGAGGTATTCAACCATTTGAAAGAAGCACAAGTAAGGAAGAAACGAAGATTTAAATTTTCGTTTGTTTGCTGCTTGTACAACGTAAGTTGGGAAGAATCATGTCGACAACTAGTAAATCAACCCCGCCAACGGATGATTACTCAAAGTTTGCAACTCCATCGGCTTTGGATGTACGGCAACCTGGAGAGACGGAAATTGGACGAAATGCTGGACCTTTTGATCCACCAGTACAACTTCCAAACAATTCTGATGACAATCGAGCATTTCAAGAAAATATTATTACAGTTCATGGTTATATGCACAAGCAAGGGAAACGTACGATCAAAGGACCAATGCATAAAAGTTGGAAACGACGTTACTTTGCATTAGAAAAAGCAAAGATTTATTACTTTCATTCACATCAAGAATGTCGTCAATATTTTACAACACGAAATACGGATCTAGTTGTTGGTGCTATTGAATTAAAAGATGCTTTACAATTGCGTCCATGTGCTCGAATGGATCTTCCACATCGAGGATTTGAAGTCATGACAAAGCGTCGTGTTTGGGTATTATGTCCTGAGACTGATGACGAATATCGACTTTGGTTTGCAGGTCTCGAAGAAGCAATTGTGGCTTGTGGATCGGGTAATATTATTGAACGTAAACTGCCGAATGTTCGCAAGTATTACATGAAAGGTATCACCACGTATCGTGTTCTCTACTTTCTCTTTCTTTTACTCAGTCTTATTGAGATTTTTGGCTTGATTTTCTGGTTTGTTGTTGGTATTCAACCATGCGATTCAAGTAATCGGACTTCAGTCTGTCAAGACGTTTATGATAATACTCCAGATGACCTACAATGTCTTGCTGACCCCATGAGTGGATGGTACACGCCACCTGATTGGTATATGACATTAGCTGGTGTTGATGATGTGGCTTGTTTTCATAATCCACCTATTGGCCAGTGGGTAGCATTTTTTGCCCTTGTTGTTGCTGAGCTCGTGTCTATTATCCTTGGTGCTTTCTACTACCTTGGTATGTGGAAACCCGTGCGTCGTGGTGCACACTACTTTGATGAATTTGATCCTAAGGTACCGGATGATTTATGGCCAAAGATTGATGTGCTATTGTGTCATTATTCAGAGCCAGCTGAGGAAACTATCGATTCATTAATGGCGTGCATGAATCTACAATATCCGCCGCATCTATTGCAAATTTATGTCTTGGATGACGGTTACTGTAGTGCAAAGTGGACGAAAGGCAATCCTGTTCCTGCTATCGAATTAAACAAGGTAATTCTTGAGAAATCAGGTGATTTACGTCAGGAAGTAGCGCAATTTATGTATGATCGTGTGTGTGATCCTAATGAAGAGATGGAGGTGTATGCATGGCGCAAACTGCATTCATCTGCTAATCTTCCGTCTAGTTCTCGACCAAAAGTAGTCAATCGTGCGGATTGCGCTGTTGGGTCCTTCCGTGACGATTACCGCTACCCTGGTATGCCTCATGTAACCTTTATTGGTCGAGTCAAGCCTGAAACGCATTACTCGAAGGCAGGAAATATTAATAATTGTCTTTACAATGAAGGAGCTACTGGACGATACATGCTGCTGCTGGATTCCGATATGCAACCTCATCCAAAGTTTATTCTTGCGACGCTTCCGTTCTTTTTTGACGATGAAGACCGTCAGCTGAAGAACAAATACTCGTGTTCATGCACGGGATGCCAAAATGTGGCTAAAATGTGCTGTGCATCATGCAAGATTGCCGGTGTACCGGAGGAGCGCATTAGCTTTTGTTCAAAGGAGTGTTTTGAGAATGCGATGCACATGCAGAGCGACTTGCATCGTCGTCAAGTAAATGGTACTTTAAGTGATGTACATACTACGAAGAAGGAACTTCGTTGTATGAATTGTAACTCAAAGCTTGGCAAAAGTGGAGAGTGTCGCAAGTGCAATACGAACAATCACAGTGGTGACGTAGGCATGACGATACTACATACTTACTCAGATGATGTTCGTGACAATGCCGTTGGCTTTGTGCAGACGCCGCAGTACTTTCGAGACTGTGTGCAATTGCAGATTGGTGATCCACTCGGTCATCGCAACTCTACATTCTACGATGCTATACAGACTGGTCAGGATGGCTATGACTGTGCTTCATTCGCTGGCACGAACGCTTTGATTCGTCGAGAGGCTCTTGATTCGATTGGTGGAATCCAGTATGGTACTCTGACGGAAGATTGCTACACTGGCGAGCGCTTGGTATCAATGGGTTGGAAGGCCTTGTACTTCCGCAAAGACTTTGAAGGTGAAAGTGAAGAACGTATTCGTTTAGCAGAAGGACTGATTCCCGACTCTGTGGCTGGAGCAATGGCTCAGCGCAAACGATGGGCCAAGGGTAATTTCCAGACGGCTTTGATGAAAAAAGATAAGAATGTTGCTGACCCAGAGTGGAAACGTCCTCACGTGGATATTCCCAAGTATCGCAAACCGAACACTTTCATGCGTCGTGTGTTTTACCTCAACTCGACATTGTATCCAATTGACTCGATTTCTGTTATCCTTGTGTACTATATCACGCTCTACTTTCTGTACACGGGATATGCACCAATTTTCGTAAACGGCCTTCGTGTGCTTGCAGCACTCGTACCGAAGCTCATCGTACAAGGTTTGCTGTCAGCTTTGAGTACTCGTGGTGTACAAAATAGCGATGTCGTTCGTTCTCAAGAAACGAGATTTGTGTACGCTTTTACAAACTTCACGGCCATGCTTGGTGCTATTGGATGGAAGCTTACTGGTCGCAAGTCTCAATGGCGTAGCAAACGTGATGCTTCACGTGGATCACTAGCTGAGCTACCAAATGTGCTGCTATTCTCTGGTGCAGTATTTGGTATTATTTGGGCCACGGTACGCTACATGGTGGCATACTATAACCGTGTCTTCTCTCATGGTGACTCAATGCTTTGCGCCGCCATTCTTATGGGATTTCATATTGCATACAATCTGGGCCCAACCGTGCGTATGAGCATTCAGGAATACTTTGGATGGAGTTACCAAAGCTTGATGGATCAGGGAAATTTTATTGGCTCGATCTCCATTGCCGTTGGCCTGATGTTTATTTCACTATGGGTACACGTTGAAAAGCCTGCCTCGGGTTAAAGAGATTAGACACTTGTGGTGAATCAACCGACTCTGCAGTAGATCCATCGACATGTGGTATCTGCTTTTTACTTCATTAGTTTGCTTTTCAGCCTTGTTCGTAAGGAATATCGCTATACTTTACTTTTATTTCAACCATATAACCTTTAAGCAGTTGTATGTCAACGTGAATATCTTTTGTTTGAACATTGGTACTTACTGGTTATGGTAGTTTTTTTAGCTTGTTATTACAGTATTCGGGTTACGCCCCCACCTAATAATTTATAGGGGTCCCCCTGTCTGTACGAATGACGCGCAGATTATAGTTAGCTCTAAATTGTATATGAAACCTTATTATATAAACTATTTTCTTTTTGTGTGGAGCTTAACAGATTAGAAACCCACAGCTGGAGTGGTTACCAAATGCAATGGGAAGTCGTATAGGAAGTATTCGTGGAATACGTGGGCTAATTTTCCACGCGACATGAAAATAATCAAGTTTATAATCGAGCACACTAAAATGGGATCATTTAGTATCTGTTTGATTATACTAAATCTTCACTACTTGTGAAGAAGAAAAACAAACTGATTATTTGGTTACTAGAGAGGCTCTAGGTGAAAAGTACAAGTCAATCCTCTGCGCGTTGGTTTATGTGGATTAGTCGAAAAGCGCCCTCTGTGCAAGGTGCACGGCGATCCCATCGCAGTTGGTAACATTTGTATTCGATACCAAACGGAGTCGTGAAAATAATGTATCCTTTGTGATGATGAAACATGAAATGTTCAATAATCCATACATGAGACAACTGTACAAGACCAGCAAACTGATGTTTATCGTTGATACCGACAAGAGAGCTGGGGGTCAAAGATCCAGATGCGGTTATCACTAGCCTGAAGAAGTTTACTAGCTCGATTATGCGCTGCTGAGACTTACTTAGGAGTGTCCCAACCAGCGCTGGTGAAGAAACAGATAATTCTCACCGTGGAACCGTTGGTGTTGACTGTTTAGGCCTTTGAAGGCCGGATTGTAGAAGATCTATCGCTCTGGATGGAAAGTCGAGATGCCATGGCCTCAGCCTTGCTCCAAACACAGCCACAGTGCGCAGCCTAAATACAACGTATTGGGCGCGATCGAAAACCTTTTTTACCCGTCAAATGAGGCAAAAAAATGGCGGGCCTTCTCCACAAAGGTTTTAGCACTTATCGCCGCACTGATGGCTGACCCTGGTAACGATTAACACGGTGAGTCTCCTAATAGGCGCGGCTCGCACCAAGGGATTCCGCGTCCACTCTAATACTTTTGTGGAAGCGGTAGATGTTGCTTTTAATATGGGGCACAGCTTTCGTGCCGCTAGATTTGGACGGGATGCTGGGAATGTTAACTCCACAAGTACGCCAGACGCGATAGACTCAGACATGATGAGTAAGACGTGAGAGATCTCTAATCTGCTGTAGTACATGTACCTGCGACCTCGCCCCCCCATCGCTCTCAGCTGCGAGATACGTAAGGGCGAGGTCCCAATCCAGAATGAACGATGAGCCCTACGAATATTCGACTCCCATAAGGCGATGGGTGGTCTCGGGTTCTGATGTACCTAGCTCGAGTTGTGGTCAATGGCACTAATGCCTTAACGAAGCAATCATCTAACGAGAGGTGAGGCACACTATTCAGGATTGTTGATTGTTGTTTTGTTTGGGTTTTGCGAAGTCATGATAATCTCTAATATTACAGATTTTGAAGCATCGCGCAACCACGCTCGACGCGCGACTGACGAAATGAGATGACAATGAGGTAAGGCATCAAAGATGCCAAATATGGCCACACTATCCGTGCGTCTAGCGACGGGGTACTAGTCAATTTCTCAGTGGGTATGTTGAGCCTTCAAGTAGAAATGATAATTGTAACAGCGTGAAACGCTGTTTAGTCCTATTTTAAAATTAAGATACGATGTTGTTTCAAACATGGCTTGAATGATGCGCCACAACCCATGGGTCGACTGAAAGTCGAAAACCTTAGGTGCCACATATTTTTTTACCAGCGGAGCATTGGCAAGTCAGTAGTCCACATCTTCTGGATGGCAGAGGAGCTTTTGGTCCGGGTACGAACCAATTACTGCTTCCGTGCAGACCATGGGATTGATCTTTTTGATAGCAATGGTATTGGTAGGCCTATCGAGCAGAGCTTGGAAGAAGGTAGTGGTAGGAAGCTGAGGCTTCAGGTAGACGGTAAAGCTCAGTTGTATATTGCGGTTTTTAGGGTATACTTCTGTCGAGTCGAGAAAGAATGATTTATGTAGTGGCCTCCGGAGTGTATCTGACGGAATAGAAAGGAAAACTTGTGAGCAGTTGTCTTTTGCGCTAGGGTCGGTGGATAGTGGAAGCTGTTGGATATCTCAATAACCCGCTCCGGAACCGATGGAATTGAAAGGCGACTGTACTGCTGGGGTAGCACTACCGCATGACAGGCCCACAAGGTGAGCAACGAAGCTTGACGATCAAGTTGCAAGATAGATTATTCACTAATCAATAGAGTGATCGAGTTAGACCAAGCAATTGACAACTCTTCTTCACAACCAACAGCAAATACGCTTATAAAACGGGAAGAGTTTTTTTTTCGGAGATATGCGCAAGGATGTGCAAGACGATAGAGTCATCGAAATGATGGGTTTGGCATCAGAGGAGGAGCTGAACTTTTTATGTGAGAAGGGCTAACGGCAAGTGGCGATTTTGAGATGCTAAATCAAGCAAAGATCATGACACAAACGTCGATTGTAAGAAATGATGTGCTATAGAAAGATTGGTAGGTTGCAAAGTGCCTTCGACCTATTTGGTGATTATTAACAGCTGCTGATAAAAGAAAGCGATATCCACCTCACTGCGGTGAATAATCGACGCCGAATACTTGAAAGTGCTTTTATGCATACCTCATGCGTCAGCAAAGCTCAATCGCCTGATGACACAACCTTACGTCACATCGTGGATGCAGAATCTTATTTCGACGATGTAATCTCCATGGCACTTTGGAGTACGGGAAGTTGTACGAGGAAAATCACACATTCGTAGGCAGCTCTCGACTGTATGCGCTTCAACCCAATATAGATAAGGGTCTTGCTGGCGCTAGAGGATTCCCTCTCTGAGCTGCTGTGTGAAAGACTTAAGTGCATATTTCGCGGAGAGAAAGGCCGTTGTAGATTGGCCACTGCTGCTGTCTTATAACAATTTGTGAAAGTGGTTTAGTGCAGCCAACCACTTGCACAACATCAGACTAAATCATGCCAACATCGCTTAACCTCTCATCAAACTTCTAAAATAGTTTATTAAATGGCACTGGGGCGCGGCAGAAGATGTGCAAATCAAGTTTTTAAAAGAAAGCCTCATGCACGCCTTGATTATGGACCAGATCGGCTGTTGCGTGACGCTTCAACTTTTTCAATACATTGAGCTTTGCTTCAGACAGATGCCAACGAACACGAAGTGTGATCACGTTGACTGTCACCAGCTTGAAGCAACAGAGAAGCAGTACCCGTTTATGACAAGAAGATGCTTATAATGAAGTCTTCTTTTCTCTTCTCGATATGCCCTCGTCAAATCTAGGGTTCACCTGCTCGGCTCTAAGATACAAGCTATGCGTCGGTGCGTTCGGCGAAGTCATCACCACTCTCCCCACAGAATTTGGATACCACTTTTTGCTGAATATACCGTCGACGTTGGTTACACGCCGGGTCGGCTTATTGTGGTGGCGCTGCATCAACGTGTCTTAAGTGTAATGTCGAGAATTAATAAGGAAACATATGCAGCGATCAACTTTGATGCAACATGTGTTGCGTTGATAAATCTTTAACTAATCCATATGCCGCTATATCGAAATACGCACGTGCACACCTGTACTAATATGCCTTATTCTAAGGCTATGCAAGTCATACCACACACGATACACAAAGTATAATGATGCCTGACGATGAAGACCTCAAGTACAGAATACTGTACGAGGCATGTGTTACACCTATGAATGACCATCTCAAAAAAGAACCATTACGCTGCTTGTATCTGTGGTCTGACAAGTTGACAAACGTATTTCTGTTCCTCGCTCAATTATTGGGGTGAGCACTGTGTACAATGAGTAAGCACATATGTGCGTACATGTAAAAGGCGTCAGCTGGTCGACCTCCAGCCGCATGCGGCGGCACTTTAGTCAGCCTACCGACTTTAATAGATTGTTACAGTACATAATATTAGACTGTATTTCGAGTTGCAAAACATGCGTCCGGAAGTACCGGTTTTTGGTTTTTCTGAACCATCCCCACCCCATGGCATTTGTTTTGCTCCTGTCAGCAATACTTGGATACAGCCACAATTATTTCGCCGGCATAGCCTACTGTTTCATATAGGGACCCGCGCTTTACAGCAAAGTTTTGGATTTAGGGCCAGACGGAACGCTTGAATTGCGTTGTCGAGGATATCTTCCAAAAGCATTGGACGGAGGGACCGCGGTGTTGATCCCGGTCATTAATTTTGCGCTGATAAACGCAGACTGTGCCTATATAGTCCTCTACGCAGCTCACATAAATGATTCGGTGAACCCTCGAGTGCATCTGACACCTTCATGAAGTGGCTCCAGTCTCATTAGGGGAGAGGTCGTCGATCACATTCGACTTGTTGATACCGGCCCCGCTACTCTTTCTGGTGGCAGATTAAGGGAATTTACGTCATTGGAGTTGGCGTCATGCGCAAGATGCGTGACATTACGGATGAGAGGCTGGATTTTCAAAAGCAGCACCCGAGACCAGAGACAGACTAAACCACACGAATACGAACTGGGACAAGAAAGCATAACATGTAATCCACCCGCCTCCACATGCTGTGTTTGTGGTCTACAAGACTAAGTCGCGACGGCGCTACATCGGACCGTTCACGGTTGTAGCAAAAATAGATCTAGTTTTACGCTGTGCCTTGTGAAAAAAATGCGGACACATTCTGTTTCACTCGATGGCTTATTGATCTCATACTACAACTATACTTGTACGAGCAAGTCGAATTCATTCTATGTTGAGAACGGAGAGTCGTTCCCACCATCACCTATTGCTGAGCTGTTCTCTGCTCCGAACTAGCTTCACATTTTTGAGCGGCTCATATTGGCTCAACCACGCCATGCAAGGGTGAAACTCGAAGAGCGTAACCCTCAACTGACCGATCTCCGTTTCAGACGCAGGTAGAAGAGAGTCGACATGGTGACAGAGCAGAAAAATCCCACGAAAGTCGGCCACGAGAGGGTCAACCTCAGCCGGCACAACTCGAAAAACAAGATGTAGACCACACATGCGGAATGGTTGTTGGATCGGAAGGTACACAATGGCTACAACCAGTTTTGATAAAGTAAAAGAATATCCTTATTTAAAAAAAACGTATAGGTGTTTGATGTTCCACGTCAGTAAATGCCTTAGTGTCGTGGCCGCTTGAAAGTTGCTGTACCTTCGTTGTCATCCTCCTTGGAGAAGAGGCAGTGCTACCCGTTGCAGCGTTCTTCTCATTTGAGTGCGGGGGACTGAGTATGGTGTTTATTGGCATTAGAGGCAGCGCTGCCCGTTGCAGCGTGCTTTCCGTTTGAGTGTGGGGGGGGCTGAGTATTAATGATATTGGCGCAAAGTACACTCTCATGGAAGGTATAATTTTTGTGAAACGTTGCGGCTCTATACAAGGTTCCATATCCGGGGAGTGATAACCTGTGAGCTGAATAGTAATACGGAGAGGTGATCTGGTGATCCATTTGGCCACTGTATGACCAAAAAGCCTGCATGCATAGGCGTGTTAGTGTCTCACCCCAAGCGCGGTTAGCAAATTTATATTGTTTAAAACTGAAATCACAACGTGATATTCAGGGAACAGTCGAAGTGACGATCGCGCTTGTATTTGAGTAAGCTGGGCTTCCTAAGTAGTAGCCATCGCGCTGCCGCAAACTGGACATCGTATGAACCTCACGCGGGAGGTCACGATACTCTCGCCGTTGAATAAGGAACAGAGTACGTAACTCGTGCAGAAGAGAGGCTAATCGTAGTAAGTCCACACTTCGTGGCAATCGGCTAGAAGATATGTCGTCGAGTGAGGGAGGAGATGTATGGCCAGGACTCGGAAAGCTCTCATCGGCTAGCACCTACCTGAAATTGACTTAAGTGCGTGAGTCACGAGGATCGCTTTTATATTTGGGGGCTCGTCGGGCCTTATGTTTGATAGCACTGAAGATGACTTCCGATGCTAGTATAATTTGGGGATCAAATATGGTAAAGCGTAAAGAGTTGAGTCAGACTTCAAGCGCAATAGTTGATCGTGAAGCGGACATTTTGCGCAGTGTCATTTAAAGAAAAAAATGTGAGTCTCAGTGTGGACCGCATGGGTGTTATGGGGTAAGTACTGTAATCGTGTGTACTTAAATATTACATTCTATAAAATTGGGTACAATTGTACACAAGTCACATTGCATCTGGTGTGATTGTGATATTGACAAGAACTGTACCATTGTTATGTACTGCGACTTCATAAAAAAGGTATATGTGGTATGCATGTGCTGTGAGCTGCACGTCAAGCAATGACAGTTCTATCATGAGTATAGTAGATCGTATAGACTTAGTAATAGTCTACGTAGAATCAATACTATTTACTGTGCTCTCAAAATAGTAGAGCTGATACTCATACTTTGTGTAGAGGTTCTCGATTCACTCGATTGCAGCGAGCAATTCAACCTCTTTGCGTCCATTAACGGACTCTTCGAAGCAAGCTTTTCCGGGAGATATCACGGCAATTCCGCCAAATCAACCAACAGGATAAATTCGTTGTTCAGAGCACTTGCAAGATCATTAAGAGCAGTCATCCTCAAAGATCGTATATGTCCACTGGTGTCATTTGATAAAGAATATTCAAGAACTGGAGACCGGAGATGTATCACATATTAGCCCTCACGGTCGGGGAATGCGCCAAGACATGGTTTCAGTGACCAAAACTGCATCCCAACACGATATTCTTTTATAGATACAGTGTAACGTCGTAGGTGCTTTGTTGTCCGCAAAGCATGAAGCGGAACCGGGCAGAGAGCGTAAATCTTCCAATTGCGTCTGCTTTTTGTGCGAGACAAAGTACCCAGAAATGGTGATTGTGCCAAAATGACTGAAGAATAGCATGTTTGGTTGCACTTTTTTTAGTGCTAGTGACTCAGTTAATCTTATCAATAACAAACCATGCCAGAAATTAATATTCCACTTTAACAGATGTTAATTTCTCTCCCATTGTGGTAGGGTGCTCTACGAGTGGCTGTAATGCCCCAGGGACTGTTACATTATCCAGCGACATACATTCGACTAAAGCGCAGCTATTTTATCAACATCGTCCTTTTTTACGAATTGAAGTCAACACGGTAAATGATACATTCATCCATACTTTTTGCAGGTACGAGGTACCAAATATCTAGTGTTACATTGCGCAGTGCTCGAGTGTGTGTGCAACAGTAAGCAATTCACTGACATAAACAGGTATATCGTCGGCGTCGACGAGAATCCTTCTTTGCGATGCTGAATCAAATAGCATGATTGGGGAAAAGACCCCGTGAAGATCATTGCCAACGTAGGTTGGTCAATGACTCTCGTTAAAAGGGACGTGCGATAGTTGTCTGGCTTGATTAACTATTCGCTTACGTTTAGCGCAAATTATGCCGACGTGACAGGACCTTTCACCGTTCCTTTTGAAAATGTCACATAGTGCTAAAATGCGGCAGGTAAAGCGGCTTCTAAGTCTGTAGAACAAAGCTCCATGCGCGCCCCATTTCTGGCCTTATTGAATCGGAGTAAAAAATCTCATGTCGTCTGTGAGGAACGCCTTTGTCATAGGCCGTGCTTTCAAGAATGCATAATCGCGTTTCAGACTCACCGACTTGAAGCTTAAACAAAGAACTCTTCAGCTCATGACATAGACTAGTTCGCTATGAAGTATGCTTTTGTCATGCCCAGGGTGTGTGTTCTTGGCGTCACGCCCATTTGTGACCAAAAGTAATCATGAGGCGTTGCGTACAGCGACATCTCTTTCACACAAAATAGCAAGAAAGTTTTCTAGCGCTACCGAATATATCTGTGAGATAAGGTAGAAGCTAATCTGGTGGTGCATGCGCTTCTGCGTCATCCCGACTATGAACTGTGGCGTGTCAGGATGATGGTATCGAGCACTACAAGGCAGTGCATTCAACTTACGGGCCAAATGAAAATACATTAAATATCAAAGGGATTTTGAGCGCAGCTAATGTTTTGTCTAAGCTTTGATTGCTCTCTTACACTGTAGTTCCATAGTCAAACAACGTACTTAGTATTCAACGTGCTGCGGATACCTCATGGAGAGGCCATCACGTACAGAATACTGTACGAGATGTTTGATGATTGATGTATGTCCGCCATGAAAGCAAAGAGACGTGTGGTCTGGCGGGACTCGCCACGTGCGTTGGCACCTTACGCAAGTCTACAACTTCTAGCAGTGTATTACCACCTTACGCAAGCTTACAACTTCTAGCAGTGTGTTGGCACTCTATCCATATAAACTCAATTTCCAGACTAGAACAAAGACACTTCCAGTATTTCCAAATGATGATCTTGTCGATCTGCTGAACGAATAAGCACTACTCCATCTTGCTGCTGTCGATGATCCCGTTACGGTGAGGATACAATCGAGTTGTTTCACGACAACATTATCATGTGACGGTGGCCATCGTTTTAGATCGAGGATCGCGCTTTGCAGCAAGGAATCTGGCAAGCTTTATTTTTAATAGCCCACCGCTATCAAATCACAAACTGATGGTCAGACAGAACGCGTTTCTCACGTGGTAAAGGTCATCTTTCAAAACACTTGTGCAGAGGGATCACGATGCTCGAAGCGAGTTGCTATTTTTCATTGAGTTGCGCTTTATAATGCTGTAAATGCGTCTACAAATTTACTTCCTATTATTCAAATAGAGAGATAAACTCCGTGCTCCTTCGAGATCGCCACAAATTACAGTGGTATTGTGGGGAGTAACGGGCTGTTCATCGTGGGTGTCGCGACACTATCTGCCTTAGAGAACAGGTATGAGCCTAGAAACTCGTGCAGAGCAGAGTCGGAATATAGAGAACGCCTCTTCTCGGTGGATGGTTCTACCGACTTTGGTAAAGAAACAGGTGTCAGGTTGGGAATTGGGGGCTCATTGTGATCATAGTCATTAAAGAATACGTTGTCGTTTTACCGATAATGGCTTCATGGCTGTCGGTCGTAATATTGTGTCATACCATGGGCTCGTGTCAATCTAAAACGAGACGATCTAGGCGGACATTCGATGTACATCATGTTTGTAGAAGCAGGAACTGTTTGATGCATGCGGTGAAGTGCAACCCGAAGCGCAGCTAATTCTTGCTAAGTGTCCATTGCTGGGTAACATCTTAAATCGAGAAAAAACTGTGAGCCCCAGTGTCGTTTCATGGAGGTGAGGCAGATACGTACCGCTACTAAACCTACGTCCACATGACACTTTTATTACTGGTTTGGTGAGGCCGTGGGCCGTTAGCCTCACGTCATTGATATATATATTGCATAGTGTATGTAGTTATTGATTAAATGCTATTTTGACAAGGCATCTGTTTACTTGGTTTGCTGGACGCTCTCCCCTGTGAAGCTTAAAATTCCATCCTGGATGCGCTCATAAGTGGGGAGTTCGTAAGTCAAAATATTCTCTGTCACACTGCCCGTTTCAACGTCGTCCGATCGTACAACAGAAAACTAAAGAACTATTCTTCTTCTTGAGTCTCAACTAAAGGACTAGTATTCAGTCTTGGGTGGTGAAAGGGTAAGGATGAATGTTTTTTTAGCATTATTCTCGAAATGGTCCCAGCACGTCGCCTGCAACATAATTTGGTCAGCACATCAGACGAAATGCACTAATGAAGAGCATGTGATAAAATGTCAAGCAGGTTTAAAATTGCCGGTGGCGATAAGAAAACAATATCAGTGTCATTTCAATAGTGGTCAAATGCTTACAGTAACGGTTAAAAAATTATATAGCTCAATGAACATTGTACCCAAGACAGATTTGTGGGCAGCATTCATATGTTTGGCAAGTTGAGTCGTAGTAGCTAAGAAACCGACTTTACAGCAGCGGGTTTTGCTCCCGACATGCAAAACATTATATTACTCACTTCTCAAACAATGTATGAGCCGTAATTGATGCAAGCACTATTTGTATCCGATACTAGTGTCCGATGATTGTTGAAGATCAATAATTGAACTCGAAACATTCCGCCCATTATGCTGATTCGAGCATGATAATGACTAAATTTATTTACAACTTACAGTTTCGCACGACAAACCGAACACTTTAGACGTTCTCTCTTATTTATGAGGATCAATATAAAGAACCGATTATGGGTCACGACACGGTGAACAATAGTGTGTCAAAGTCAGTTGAAAGCAAAATGCACAAGAAAGTTGTTAATTTAGCAAGATACAAAAATGGAGCTTCAGTTATTTGAGCGGATGCGTGCGCTCGCATAAGCTACAACAAGTTATCGCACTCAAACGTTCGTCACCTTGTCAGAAGCTGAGATATCAAGTCCAATGCGTTTTAGCGCTTCCAGACATGCTACAGCGTTCCTGATCAAACCAGACGCATCAGGTTGACGCAAGCGCAGCATAAATCGCACTCAAACGTTCGTCACGTTGTCAGCGACGGTCAAGAGAATAAAAATTTGGGACCTGGATCATGGATCAAGCAAAAATTCTTCGAGCTTCTTAGTTTACCTAGTAGACATTTGGTGGGTGCATGGTAACTGCAAGTGATGAAGACGCTCAAAACAACAAAAATGAGAAGTGTGACCCTCAGAGTTGCAACATTAGATTATAAAAAAATAATGCTTCGTACTGTGGGGAAGATTAACGTAATTTGGGGAATCAAAAAGGAAGTAGGTGCTGATCTTACGTAACGGAAAGGTGCCGGGAATGGTTGTGACAATCCAAAACAGCGTCATGATTGTTAAAGTTGTAATCATCAATACCACCTTTAAACCCAGATGTATCGTGTGATAGTTTTTACAGGCGTCTTATTAAATGACGAGGTGATTAAATTATGATGTTTAACTAGTGAGAATTGCAATGGGGCTGCCGTAGCTTAGCGCTTGAGGAAGCGTACTTAAGGTCACCGACCTTTCGTTCTTTACAAGAACCAAGTATGAGTTAGCGGATTGCAATCCGCTTACTCCAAGTGTAACTATTGCCTTCCCAAGGCTGATTGACTCATCGGTTTAAATCCAAAGCTGATTTTAATATTTTTTACCCTAATGTTAAAAGTTTAGATTTTCCTAAATATACTAAATGTATATAGAAAAATCTAAATACACGCATAACTACTGGCTACCTAGCCACATACCGTATTCTTGTTTGGGTACAGTCACACCAAACACATCTTGTGTGACACACACCTGTTACAAGGGTACGTGTAATCTCGTTACACCCTCCCCCATTAAGATCGAGAACATTTACAGTTCCAATCGATTATTGCCTCAACGAGGCTCGCGTGTCTTCTAGACACTGCAACTTTATTCATCTGAATAAAACGATTTCCGTGCTCAATGAGCCCTGTGTCAATGACACTGAAGTCACCAAGTCTCGATGGTTCTGACAGCGAACACGGGCAGAGCCCAACTTCGTCTCCCGCACGCGGTGCAACGTCTGACAGTGCGTCCGCGGCATCGGAATATGTACATCCTAGGCTCGGTAAGCTCGAGCGTCGCGCTTTGCGCACG